GTGGCATAGTGGTAAAGAATATACCTGCAGTGCAGGAGACTTAAGTTCAATCCTTGGGTCAAGAAGATCCCCTGGAGAAGAGAATGGCTACCCACTCCAGTATTCTTGGCTGGGAAATCCTATAGACAGAAAAGCCTGTAATGCTTTTCCCATTGAGTTTTAAGGAGCCATATTTGTTTCAGTTAGTAAAAATCTGGTTTGTTTTCTTTGTAGAATAAATCAGACTTATTCTCCTAGAAATCCCCTGTCTCTCCATTTGCCTGTTTTTCTCCTTACGAGTTCAGGTTGGAGGGGTTGACATAACAAACGTCAAGCCACTGCTCTGAAACAGAAATAAGCCATTTGAAGGGAATCAGGAATCTGTTATTTGTCCTCAACTCTTCAGTTAAGTGTTGCTTTCGAGGAAGAAGACTGAGTGGTGAGTCTTGTAGGAGTAGTCCACTGAATCCAGATTAATAGCATGGTTTTGTGTCTCTGTTCCTGGGGAAAACCTCAGTAATCTTCACTGGATAAGGATCAAGGACACGATTCCTATTCACATCAATGCAGACACCTAGAAAGAAAGTTAAGGCTGGCTTTTCTGGAAACCACTGGTGTTTAGGTTAATTTATAGCAGGGAGGTGAGCACTGCTGCACCTGTGGCTGCACCAAATTTGGGGGCTTGAAGTTCCTAACAAGTTTCCTTATGATGGGATCATCCGCCATGGCCATGTATATATGTGCTCAGTCACCAAGTCATGTCCGACTCGGTGACCCCATGGACTGCAGCCCGCCAGGCTCCTCTGTCCTTGGGAGTTCCCAGGCAAGAACACTGGAGTGGGTTGCCATTTCTTTCTGCGGGGACTGTTCTGACCCAGGGATCAAACCCGTGTCTCTAATGTCTCCTTCCTGGCAGGCAGATTCTTTACCACGGCACCACCTGGGAAGCTGGCCGTATAGATAGAATCGTCGTAATTGAGGACAGCTTCTAACTAAGAATGTGGTCATCTGACAAATTCCAGTCAAGGACAACAGAAAACACCAGACTGGAAAGTCTTTTATTATGAAGAACCCTTTGAAGAAGTAAATGAACTGATTTCTTCAGTCATAAAAGGCAACATCCAGGGATTTGGGATGTGAGAGAATCCTTCTGAAATCAATCTGGAGTAGCTTCTCCCTTGTTCATCTTCTGAGTGGACCTGATCCTTATCACTGTCATATCTCCAGTGTTGGTTTTCTGAGAGCCAAACAAGTTTTAATGTGGTTTATTACTGTTAAGTCACAGAGACAACTTTAAACAACAGAGACAACTTTCAATACAGCTCCCAGCCAACCGTGATGCTCTGCCATGATTCCAAGAGAAAGCAGGACTTGCAGCACCTGGCTGAGTGAAGCCTCTGCTCACAGGAATGGTCCCTCAGGTCTTGACTCACCTCTAGATTTGGCCCCAGGAATCAATTCTACTGTGTGTCCTCAGTGAAGTTATAGTGTGATTGGTTCCAAGCCCATGAGGGCTTATCAAAAGCAAAAACAACAAAAAGCATGCAGTCTTTTTCACATAAACATCTTATTTTTCTTCTGCTTCCTTTGTAGTCTAAAGATTTTTCTTTTATATGTTAGGAGCCCATGGGTTGTCATGAATCACTTTCCTATCCTGATCAATATAACCTCTCTTTTTAAAGAAAAAAAAATCATGATGCTTATTATTGGATTCTTCTTTAATCCAGAGTTTTAGAATCACCTAGATCCACCACTAGCCCCATTTTTACAAATGAGGAAACCAGAATAGAGTTGAAGCAATTCACCCCGATTCAGATAGCCTAGGTTGAACAACGGATCTGGACTGGGACTCTGGAATTCCACCCAAGTGACAGTCCTATGAATTAATATTTTGTAATTTTGCTTCATTTCATTTCAAGATCCAAATGCTAATTTCATGCTCGGAAACAGCACAGGATTGTTTTAAGCTGTGCTTACTAGTTCCTCATCCTGAATATTTGGTATAATGTCAGCACCAATGGAATAAACCCACCTGAGTTTGGGGGCCTTCCTGGTGGCTCAGACGATAAAGAATCTGCCTGCAATGTGGGAGACCTGAGTTCAGTTCTTGGATCAGGAAGATCCCCCGGAGAAGGGAATGGCTACCCACTCCAGTTTTCTTGCCTGGAGAATCCCTTGGACAGAGGAACCTAGCAAGCTACAATCCATGGGGTCACAAAGAGTCAGACACAACTGAGAGACTAACACTTTTGAGTTCACAACTCACAAAACATCAAAAGCAGTTACATCCCTCCGCAATGAAATATGCAATGTATTTGGAACAGTTTACCACTGAGAAGAGTGTGACACGTGTCTGGCTAAAGGTATAATTCGCTCCAACTGGGATGACTTTTGAATTTAGAATATTCACAACAAGTTAAATTTAACATGGTTCCAAAGCTCCAAGAGTGAAACAGCTGTACTACAGAAATCCCCCATGATCCCTAATTCTATATTTGAGGTTCTTTGAGTGCTGCCAATATAAATTCTGGACTTATTAAGGTGCCCAAAGATTTGCTCCCAACTTTGAAAGATCCAAACCATAAAAGTCCACCCTGAGACCATTCCTCTATGTCACTGAACTAATAGAATTCTTCCTTTGTGTGTTGTGAAGGAAAAGGAAGACCAGATTTACACATATGGCTCTTTGGGCTAACAGCTGCATGCAAAGTTCTTTCAGTTTTGGCTCCTGCCTCTAAACTCTTTTGAGCACTTTAAAGCAATGTCATTCTGGGACTACCCTGGTGGTCCAGGGGTTAAGAATCCACCTTGCAATGCAGGGCTCGAGGTTTGGATTCCAGGTCAGGAAGCTAAAATCCCATGCCCTGGGGAGAGATTAAGCTCACACACGGCAACTAGAGAGTCTGTGTGCCACAGTGAGAGGCCCCTGGAGCCGCAGCTGAGACCTGATGTAGCAGATAGATAAATATTAAAATAGATATTAAATATTAATATAAATGTTAAGACAATATTATATAACATGATGATATATTATTAAATATAATAATAACTAAACTAATAAATATATAATATATATTATGATATATGATATATAATAAATTGTATAAATTTATATTCAAATTTATATAGTATATAAATTTATATATAAATGTATTTAATTTAATTTAAACATATAAATTTATGTAATCAATATATTATGTATAAACATTAGTATTAATATATTAAATATTAAAAAAAATATATAGGGGCTTCCCTGGTGGCGCAGTGGTAAAGAATCCATCTGCCAATACAAGAGACATGAGTTCGATCCCTGATCTGAGAAGATCCCAAGGGCCATGGAGCAACTAAGCCCGTGGGCCACAAGTACTGAGCCTGTGCTCCGAGTCCAGGAGCCTCAGCTGCTGAGCCCCAGCCCCTAGAGCTGGTGCTCCACGACGACAGAAGCCGCTGCAGTGAGAGGCCTGCAGACCGCAACTAGAGAGTAGGCCCTGCTTGCTGCAGCCAGAGAAAAGTCCACACAGCAACAAACCCCCAGCACACCCGATACGTAAATAAAGTTACTTAAAAATAAAGCAATGTGGTTCTATTACTAGGCTTCAGAACAAGGATGGGCCCACAACTTTTTTCTGGGTGTCCGGGGGGTAAAAGCGGCGACCACAAAATCGTGGTGGCGATTAGACTTTGGGGCCTTGGTTTGCACACGTAGCCTGCCTCTGCCCTGAGGACTGACGCTTAGGAAGGCTCCGCTGCCTTCTCTCCGTCACTGCAGTCCCCCACCTCCCTCCCTTCTGCCTCCCTGCAAAAAACCCTGCTCCTCCCTGCTTGGCAGCTGCAGCAGATCCTGCTCCATGAAGCCCACCACCCCCCGACCCTGGAGTTCCACAAGCCCCAGCTGACCTGTATCTCCAACCCGCCTCACCCAGGGTGAGGGCCTTGGCGTCCCTACCCAGGACTCAGCTTCTGGCAGCCAACCCTGAGGCCTTCCTTCTGATTGCTGAGTCCGCAACCTCAGCCAACCCCCTCCCCACCTCCCTCACAGACCCATGAAGAAAAAGAAAAGCGTCTGACCTACTACTGTGCCTTAAAACTGAGCGATAACTATTGTTGCTGCTCGGCTGCTAAGTCATCTCCGACTCTTTGCAACCCCATGGACTGCAGCATGCCAGGCTTCCCTGTCCTTCACCATCTCCCAGAGCTTGCTCAGACTCATGTCCATTGAGTCAGTGATGCCATCCAACCATCTCATCCTCTGTCGTCCCTCCTCCTCTTGCCCTCAATCTTTCCCAGCATCAGAGACTTCTATGAGTCGGCTCTTCACATCAGGTGGCCAAAGTATGGGACCTTCAGCATCAGTCCTTCCAATGAATACTCAGGGTTTATTTCTTTTAGGATTGGCTGGTTTGATCTCCTTGCCGTCCAAGGGACTCTCAGGAGTCTTCCCCAGCACCATAATTCAAACCCTTTATCATCATCACATTTACCCAGATGGCATTCACATTTTCAACTGTGGCCTCGTTCTTTATTAAATTTGAAATTAGCTTTTGCCTGAAAGCTAAAAACTTGCGGTAAAACAAAAAGTATGAAGATGAAAGGTGGAATGAAGCTACATAAAGTGTCATGCGTGCAGGCATCTCATATTCACATGCTTCCCACATGACTATGACAAGTAACGTTCACACAGAGACAGGCCAGAGAGACGGCCTTGGAGCTGTGCCCAGGAGGCCCACCCCACTCCCTTCTTGTCTCTTGGGCTTCTGCGAGATGCCTCCTGTAGCTAAATGAACCCTCTCTTCAGGTGGAACTGGCTTGGCAGGCTCTCCCTACCTTGTGATCAGAGAAATGCGATCAGGACCAGAACCAAACTCTTAGTGTCTTCTCACCGCACAGCACATTGTTAACGTCAGTACACAGTTCTTAACTATACTGTCTGTTGTATGCTCTCTGTACAACATACATAACCATACATAAAACTCTGACATGTATGTTTTATTTATATACAGCCATTTATAAAACTATGTATATAGTTATATGTGTCAAGCATCTATGTCAGTTACATTTATCAACTGATTTAACTAGATCAATATATGTCAGTGAACACAGATCTGAGTTAAGTGGCTACACTGTGTCCACCATGTGGCCAGAACTCTTCGGGTCTGAGGACACTGTTCACCTCCATACATGGTAGGTTTTCTTCCAGCTTTTTATTGAAATCTCAAACTGTGTCTTGATTAGAAGAGAAACCCTAAACGTTTTCTCTAGGGGAAACAAGAATGTGCAAAGCTTCTGGACTTGGAACAAAATGATGAAAACTGTTATCCAGAGAGTCTGCATTTCCTGGGAGGCGAAAATAAACCTAAACCCGGGACAGAACTGAGAACTCTGTGACCAGAAGCTGGTGTTCTGAGGGCTGATGTCACACAGCCCAGCGGGTCTCAAAGCCCCAGAACATACCTGTCCCTCCCTTGAGGTCAGGCACAAGACGGTGCATCTGGAAGTCAGGTATTCCTTGTGGTGACAGGAAGCTCCCTCCAAGAATCACAGAAGTGGGGGTGGGGGGATTCATCACTGAAGCATCTTGTTCCAGACGATTCATTTTGCTTTTATTTGGTTTCACACAGCTCAGGACGCCTGGACTCAGGGAGGCGTTGCTACCATTCGAATCATTGGCTTTTCTCCGGGAGTCACTTCTCTTCTCTCCAGGGATTACCAAGCCTTTGAAGGGACCCTCTTCTCAAGGCTCAGAGCATTTGATTAAATTGCTCGTTCCAGGTAAACTCGATTTTGAGGAACTCAGTTGTATTTCGGAGGAAAGATAGCCAAGCGAGGTGTGTAATCAACAATAAAGACAGAACAAGGGATGGGGGCTCCTGGTTCCTGGAGAGGCAGGCTCCTCTGTGCAGGACAGAAGGGTTTGGAAGGGAGTTTCTAGAATCTCCTTAAATACTGAGGTGGCATGACCCATTTGTCGGTGGGAAAAATGGACATTTCCCCCCCCCCCTAAAATTCGTTTACAAAATGGGTTCACGTATTCTCAGCAGTGTACACATAACATTTGGGCGGAGGAGAGACATTCCCTTAGTTATTCCCACAGGAGATTTGTAAGCCTGATTCTGAAAGTTCAATGAATTTCAGGGGCTTCCTAGGTAAAGAACCCGCCTGCCAATGCAGGAGACTTAAGAGACTCAGGTTCAATCCCTTGGTTGAAAAGATCCCCCAGAGAAGGGAATGGCAACCCACTCCAGTATTCATGCCTGGAGAATCCCATGGAGAGAGGAGCCCACAGTCCATAGGGTCAGAGAGGGCTGGATACGACTGAAGCGACTTAGGATGCATGCAGTGTTTGGGAGCACAGCCATGGCCCAAGTACAGGCCTGTCACTCATGTGGAGCTGCACATTACTGCTCATGAGAGAGAGATTCTTCCCACGGGGGTCCTTCCTTCTGTCTAGAGTAAACCTTCCACCCACCCTGGACCAGCTTAGGGAGATCCAGCCACGTTTTACACGCAGAAGGCTCTGTGGCTTGGGATAACTCTCCCTGCACTGAAGGAAGCCCATGGAGGTTGCTAAGTGGCTGGGGGAGGGGGGACATTCACGCGCTTCCTGGCACTTTCCTGCCCAGGTGTGCGCTTGGCCACAAGATGATACTTGAGAGGCTTGACTTCAAGATTATGATCACTGTTGCAGGCGGCCTCCTGATGGCCGCGAGCCTGCTGATGTGCTTTATCATCTGTCTTAGCTACAAAGTGGCAAAGTCAGTGAAGGAAGAGAAGACGGTAAGAATGGCTAACACCCCCACCCCCACCCACCACCAACCCTCAGATGGGATCCTGGGGCTCGTGCTTGAGCGGGGTCATCCCCGGCCCTGTGGCCACACCCTGGGTGAGGTCAGGAACGGCAGGAGGGTTTGAGAGGACCGAGGTGGGGAGGGTAGAATCTGGCTTTCTGCCCCTTCCCATCTGGGGCTGTGAGCTCACAAGGAGAATGTTCTCAGTTGCTGGGTCTGCGCTGCTTTGCCGTCCCTTGGCCTCGCCGGGTTCACCCTCAGCGGGTTGATTCCACACTGGCTGGCTCCGCCCCACCCTTTCTGTCCGGGCCCTGCAGACTAGGGGCTGTCGGGTGGCTGTGATGAGTTCTCTGCCTCTGCTTACTGGGAGGACGGGCTGAGTTGATCTCCTCCTGCCTGAGTCGGTGAGCCCTGGGGATGGTGAGATGGGCCTACAGGACTCTGGGGGTGTTGAGCTCTGCGGAGATGCCAGCTGATCTGACCGTGGGGTGCAGGTCTTTGCAAAACGGTTTTCACTTTATCTGGAGTCAAGGAGCACTTTTGCAGCAGGTAAAAGGAACGTCTCCAGTGTGGGGAGGTTACCCCTGTGAGGACGGGAGGACCCCAGAGCCCAGGCTGGGTGCGTGGCGGTCCCCGTGCATCATGCCTGCATCTCCTGCCTGGAGCCCATGTAGACACTGTCGGGTCAGACCCGTCAGACCTGTGCCACGCCCCTTCTCATTGGTAAAATGCTGGAGGAGGACAGGGTGGGGTAAGGATTCGGGAGAGGAACAGAGACGTACGATGGAGGGCTGGCGTCACACGTCGCCACCGCCTAGCTGAGGACCTCTGATGATTCCAAGAAATGGATTTCTTTAAGTAATCAAATGTTTCTTATAAAATCTCTGAAGGGAAATGTAACAAGCAATGACGCTGACACAAAAGACAAGAAACCCAGTTTGGAAGCAGGTCAACCTGAGGTTCCGCCAACTCCAGCGTCAAAGCCCCGGTGACAGAGTCTCGGAGAGAGATGCCCTGGGGACCCTCAGTCCAGGCAGGTGTGACCCCGGCATCTCCCGGGCCACAGTCCTGCCTCGGGAAGTACAGTCAGCCCGGCTGCCTCCTGGCTTGGTCCCTTCAGTGTCTGCACTCCCTCTGGGTAGGAGCCGCCTTACATCCCAGGGTCCCAGCACACAGCCCAGAACCTTAGGTGTCAGGGGTAATCACCTGTCACCTTTGCGCCAGATAAACCTCTCAGGCATAGCAGTAAATCATGAATAACATTAATTTTGCTTACTGGTAACAGTATGTTACACCTTAGAATGTTTAGTAAAATAATTTCCTGCTAGTTTATTTTCTGAAAACCCATATATATCACAATGTCTTTATTTTACCACCCACTCACATTGAACATAATTGCATCATCATTTAACGTAATAGCTGACATGGGGCTATTATTTTAACTCATTAAGTGAGTTATTATATGTAATGAATGAGTTAAAGCCCCTAAAATGTGAAATGGTGCCTGAGAACACATCCTGAAATTAGGAGCTCGGCTAATAGGTCCAAAGGAAACATCTTCAACTCACTGCTGACCACCGGGGCTGGGGGCCCAGCCCTAGTTCAGCACATAGATTCCTGCCCAATGCTGTATTCTCTTCTCAAAGGGCTTCACCAACACTCGGAGTTGGCTGGGGTGGGCACAACTTAGAGGCGGGAACTCTATCAGGGTTGTGTGGGATGCAGGCCTCATGCCCGTTCCAGGCTGCCACTCTGGGCCTGGGAGGAGCCCCGCACATCCCCAACCTCAATGCTGACCCTTCCCAGATGAGACCTGTGCCTAGCGAGCTCCTGTCCTGAGGCTGCCATTCTGTCTCTCCCAGCCACCAGACCACAGATGATGACCCAGCGTAACGCTGGGCCTGCCTGGGTGCAGTCACTCTCAAGAGGAGCGGTCACCCCCTGGGCAAGGGGCAGTGGGACCGTGTGTGGTCTCTCTGGGTTTCACTGTCCTGAGTTGAAAGTTATTGGGTTTCTACTTCTGCCGCCCCCAATATCTGTGGAACCCGGGTCCTTCCCCCCCATTTACAAATTCACGTTTGCCTACTCAGCCCTCACCTTCTAACCTGTGAACAGGAGACCCACTCCAGCCCAGCGGCCAACACGTGGGTTCCCCATTTACAGCCCCAGCCGGGAACCCGCACCCTCGCTGCCTGGCTCCCATGTGTCTGATGGATCAGGTCGGCTGCAACCCTTCCTAACCCTGAACCCATCTCCATCTTTAACCCAACCTGTCCTGCCTCACCTTAAACCTTGGTCACCTCCTCTCCAAAAGGTCACATCAGGCTCTCATGTGGACAGAAGGCATTTAGCAAATCCTTGTCTTCTGCCCCCACCCCCACTCTCACCCTCCCCCGACCCTCCCCGCTCCGCGGCCCTTCTTTGGCAGCACCCTCGCCCCCCCACCCGGAACTTTCTCGCCTTTGTCTCCCTGTCTGCCTTCAGATGCCTGTCTCCTCTCTTCCTCCATCGCTCAGCACCCGTCTCAGACTCCCCCAGCTTCTAGGGTCTGCCAGGGACGGCACCCTGACCAGGTGTGATGGTTTTCACACATGCTTGCAGGTGGGACTCACCTGGAGGGCTCTAAACCGCCTGTGACTTGGCCCTTCCCCCAGGAAATGATTAAGTAGAAGTGGGCAGGGGGCAGGGAGCAGCTCCCTTTTCAGAAGCACCGTGCGTGGTTCTGACGTGCAGCCACGGTTCCGAATTCAGGGTCTGATCTATTTCACTTTGACATTATAGAGAAAAACGTGTGTATGAGGCAGTGTCCTCTAAATTATTATACTCAGTCCTCAGGGACAAGTGTTCAGTCTTGTGTGACCAACGCCAGGATCAGTCTTAGGACACGCCCTTCACCCTGCGAGTCCCCCTGGTCTGTGTCAGGGGCACATGGGCACGCCCCCGACCCCAGTGGGTTAAGCCAGCCCTCCTGGGGCGCTCTGGTCCCCACGAGGCCCCCATTACATTCTGACAGGTCTGCTGCTCATCCTGGGCTTCCCTCATAGCTCAGCTGGCAAATCACCTGCCTGCAATGCAGGAGACCCAGGCTCGATTCCCAACTGGGACCTAGAGCTCAGACCAGCAAAGCAGCAGGCTTCCCCATCCACTGCCTACAGGGTCCACTGCCTGCTGCTGATAAAGCCTGGATTTCTGCCTGCCGCCCCAGCCTAGGGCGGCGAGGCTGCTGGTCCCCACAGGGGCGCACAGGAGCAGGCAGCATCTCTCGGCCGCTGCCTAAGACCATTCCTGCTGGTCTGACCCAAAAAGCAGGTTTTCAAGCATCAGTTGCTTCTTGGGACTTCCCTGGTGGTCCAGTGGTTAAAAACCCATTTTCCGATGCAAGGGGTGTGGGCTTGATCCCTGGTGGCCAACTAAAACCCCGTATGCTGCAGAACAATGAAGACCCAGCGCGGCCAAAATAACGAAAAAATAAATAGTTTTTTAAAAATTTAAAGAAAGAATAAAGGCTTCTCAATTTGTTGCCTGACTCAGGTCAGTTTCTAGAACCCTGAAGTGATTGTTGGTAACAGTTTGGTCTAATTCTTCCCTGATTTCTATGGAAAGGCAGTGACCACCACCCCTCCACTCCCGCCCCACCTCACTGTCCTGCACAAATTCACTTAGAAGTGAGGTGTTTATGGGGTTCCGCCCAGGTCACAACAGACTCCCTTCTGCCTCCTCCACTGTTTGCACCTCTGGTCTCAGAGAGACTCCGAGGGCCATGGCAGTGGCTTCCACCCTCGAGAACATACAAAGAGAAGAGAAAATTAAGACGGGAAGGAAAATTAAGACGGGAAGCAATTGTTCATTGCAGTTATTCAGGTACTAAGGCAGACTCCTGTGGTTCAGCAATATTAAAAGGAGTTTTAGGTATAATTTTCAAAATTCTGCTTATAACCCTAAGGGCTTATGCTTGCAACCCTGCCTTAGCTAAAAGTACAGAATTGTTAAAGAGACTTCTATAGCAACTGGACCTTGCTCTGTCCCTCAAGCATGTGATCAGAGGACCGGCTGACCCAGTCCAGGTACTGTTGAGCCCTCACGACCATCTTTTGTGGCACTGAGGCTGGGGCCTGTGATGCGGGACTCTTTCCTGCAGTGCCTGCACCTGGACAAACGTGTCCTTGGGCAACAAAATACAAAGAAACTCTAAGCACTAAAAACAACTGCATGCATGCACAGTTGGGGCAAATTATGGACGAGATGCAAAAAACCCAACCCAACTGCCACTTCTGAAGAGCCAGGAACAGAAAACAAGGTGTCAGGAGCAAGAACATGGTACTGAGCATGCCCCCTGCCCTGGACACCCCCAAAGGGGTGGGCAGGTCACCTAAGCCACCCCGGCAGCCTGACCCCTGGACGCACCCCTACCCTCATATAAGCAACAGCTTGTCCCCACCTCGGGGAGCGAGCAAGTGAAACTGTTGTATTTTTTGCTCCCTCCTGTAGCCCCGGGAGCCCCAGTAAAGCCTTGCCTGAATGTCTCCACTAGCCCTTGGCGGTGGTGGTTGAGTTGCTAAGTCGTCTCTTACCCTTGCGACCCCATGGACTATAGCCTGCCAGGCTCCTCTGTCCATGGGACTCTCCAGGCAAGAATACTGGAGTGGGTTGCCATTCCTACTCCAGGGGATCTTCCCAACGCAGTGACGGAACCCACATCTCCTGCATCTCCTGCACGGGTAGGAGGATTCTTTACCACTAGCGCCACCTGGGAAGCCCAGAGGTTCTTTTTTACAAGATGAATAAAACTCCTTCACACACAGCAAACTTTATTCTTCATGCCAGGTTTGTCAGTTCTCAGCTCGAAGACTTATCTGCTTCTTCCCCAAACACAGCCAAGTGACAAGAACACACGGTCCGCCCGAGTGGCCAGCGAGCTTTATTTGGCTTCCTTCCCGCCGCTGGAGGAGCCGTGTGCGCCGGGCGAGGGTCCGCGCTGGCCTCCCTGGGGGGCCGCCAGGTGCCTGCAGGCCTGATGCTGACCCCATGGCCTGTCTGGTCCTGGGTGCTGGGCGGGGCCGGGGGTGTTCTCCTCAGGCAGGAGGCAGGAGCAGCAGGGCGGCGGCCTCCCGGGAGGCCCTGCCAACGCCTGGCTCTGCCTGGAGGCAGCAGCCCAGCCCGGGCAGGGTGCCAGGGCCTTGCACTCAGCATGCATGGGGCTGGAGCGCCGCCCTGATGCCGGCGGCCAGGGCGCGAGGTGTGGGGCTCTCGGCGGTGCAGCTCACGGGCAGGCCCTGTGCAGCCAGGGCGTGGGCCGTGGTGGGGCCAATGGCCACGAACTGCAGGGAGAAGACAGAGGGGTCTCAGCGGAGCCACAGGCCTCGCGGGGGGACGCGGGGGGCAGCGGGTGCAGGGCCCGTCGGACATCCTGTTAGGACGATGTCTGGCATCAGTCGGGACCGCCGTGGTGGGAGCACAGAACGAAGCCTGGGAAGGGGCTCTCCGTGCAGCAGAGGCAGAGCAGTCCAGACCGGGGCCTGGAGCCGGGGAGTCAGGTGCAAACGGCAGCCCCACAGGACAGGGGCCTCAGGGTGACCCACCCTCTCTGGGTCTCCGGCCCCCTCCATGAAGCAGAAAGGTTAACAGCTTTGCTCGTTTGGCTGCTCCAGTGATTAGATGAGCAACACGCGTAACCACCTGGCCTATGCCTGGCACAGAGCCACGCCTCGTGACCGTCGGTGGTCACAGGACCATCGTTATCCTAGGTGAGAAGCTTCAGGGGCCTGGGCCACGTTTTGCTGTGACTCTGGCCCCTGCCAGCTGTCATTACAAGTCACTTAGCCTTTTCGATCCTCAGTTTTCTCATCTGTGAAAGGGGCTCAATCACCCTGCCTCTCAGTGCTAATTCGGGGCAGGGCGGGGGTGGTGAAATGGGAAGATTGTCAACTTCAGGCCGAGAGAAGGTGCTCCTCCCACCCCCCTCTGCACTCACACCACGGACAGGGACCTGCCCGGGAGTGGTCTGTGACAGTGAGCCCCTGATGATGGCAGCCCCTGCCCGGCACCCCCATCCGCCCCTCCCCGGGCAGGCTGGCAGGAGAGAGGACGAGATACCTCCTTCATACAGTCTTAGGATGCAGTGGCCTGACGCTCCTCTCCAGGGGCGTGCGGGGGGCGAGGAAGGAGGCTGCTCGCACAGAAGCTGGGGCTCCTGGAGCCCCCACACTCCCACCCGTCCCACAAAGCAGCTACCCCTTAGGAGACCTCCCTAAGGCAAAAAAATGAAGTTGGACCCCTACCTCACACCATGCACAAACATTAACTCAAATCAAAATGGATCAGAGACCTCAATGTCAGAGCTAAAACTACAACAGAAAACATAGCAGTGAATCTTCATGACCGTGGATGAGGCAATGCAGATACATGATGAAAACCACAAGCAGCAAATAAAACACTGATTAAAAAACTGCTGTGCCTCAAAGAACACCATCCACACAGCAAAAAGACAACTCATGGAATGGGAAGAAGTTTGTGCAAATCATGTATCTAATAAGGGACTCGCCTCCAAAAAAAAGAACTCTTACAACTCAACACCAAAAGGACAAATAACCTAGTTAAAAAGTGGCAAGGATGTGAACAGATGTTTCTCTTAAGAAGATATCAAAATGGTATGACTCAGGGAACTCAAACTGGTGCTCTGTGATAACCTACAGGGGTGGGAAGGGGCGGGAGGTGGGAGGGAGATTCAAGAGGGAGGGGACATATGTGTTGGTGGAGACTGCTTCCCTTGTGGCTCAGCTGGTAGAGAATCCGCCTGCAATGCGGGAGACCTGGGTTCAATTCCTGGGTTGGGAAGGTCCCCTGGAGGAGGGAAAGGCTACCCAGTCCAGTATTCTGACCTGGAGAATTCCATGGACTGTATGATCCATGGGGTTGCAAAGAGTCGGACACGACTGAGTGACTTTCACTTTCACTAAGGTTAATTCATGTTGATGTATGACAGAAATCAAACCAATATTGTAAAGCAAAGATAAAAAAATAAATAATAATATTTATTTATTAAATAATAAAATAAATAAAAATAAATTTAAAAAATAAATAAAAAATTTTTAAAAGAAGGTATCAAAACGGCCATCATGCCCATGAAAAGATGCTCAGCATCTTTAGTCATTAGGGAAATCCAAACCAAAACCACTAAGAAACTACTTCATACCCACTAGAACAGCTGTAATCATAAAGACAAAAATATAACAAGGGTTGGCAAGGATATGGAGAAATTAGAATCCTCATATATTGCTGGTGGGACTGCAAAATGGTACAGCCACTTTGGAACACAGTTCGGCAACTGTTCAGAATGTTAAACATAACATCACCATACGAGCTAGCAACTCTCCTCATAGGTATACACTCAAGAGAAATGAAAACACGTGTTCACACACGTGTACTTAAACATTCAGCTGTTACTCATGATGGCTCAAAAGAGGACACAATCCAAATGTCCATCAGCTGATGAATGGATAAATGAAAGGTGCTATATTCACAGAATGGACTGTCATCTGGTAACACAGAGGATGAAGAACCGATATATGATGACACAGGTGAGCCCTGAAATGATCAGGCCAAGTGAAACGAGCCAGTCACCGCAGACTGTATACGGTGTGACTCCGTTTGTTCGAGAAGTCCAGAACACAGGGCGATCCGCAGAGACAGGGAGAAGGCCAGTGGCGGCTGGGGGGCTGCGGAGTGACTCTTGTGGGCACGTGGTTTCTTTCATGATATTAAAGTGTTCCCGAACGAGAGGGTGATGGTGGCACAGCCCTGTGAATTTACCAAAACCCACTGAATTGCACACTTTAAAAGGTACATATTTAAGTCACAAAAAGTGAATTTCATGGTGTGTGACATATCTCAATAAAGCTGTTTTTTTCTTTAAACAAACAAACATTAAAAAAAAAAAGAAACACCCTGAAGTTGGGAACCAGCCAATAGCAAGCATAATTTCAGCAGAAGCAATCTGGTCACAAGATGATGTTTCCACATGAGCCTTTTATTCCCCCTGAAATGGGCTGGTCACAGGAGAAGGGGGGCGTCTAGAGAGCCCTGCTGTCAGACTCACCACCAGGGGCCTGGCTGGACCCACAGAGTCCACGGAGCTGGACCCACACAGCCCGCGGGGATGGACCCAGGCTGCGGACGGGGCCCCTGGAGCAGGGCAGCCCACTCTGCACTGGGCCCCCAACAGCCCAGCGCTAAGGCCAGTGTTCCGGCTCTGGGCACCTCCCTGGGGTGGGGTGGGAGTGGGGAACCAGTCTATAAGGCAGAGACAGTCCTGACCCCCAGGAGTGCTGGGGCCTGTGCTGCGGGCTCCCAGTCACACCGGTACCCCTTCCCCAGTCCCCCTTGGGGCCTTTAAGAGCATCCCCATTACAGAGCTGTGATTAGCTGCCGACTCCTAAAGAGTACGAATGGAAATCCTTCGAGTTAAAAACCACGAAAAGGAGAAAGAATTTTACAACATAATTTCAAGACAGACGGGAAACAAGGGGAAGTATGCTAATAACTGAGCCAGGCCTTGAGCTAAGGGCTTGACTTGAGTTCTTTCAATGAACCTATCAGCGAAGACCATACCTGTCTGTGAAGACCACAAAGGGATAATCATCCTCATGTTGCACAGGCTGAGAGAGGTTAAGTAACTTGTCCAAGAGCACCAGCCAGGAGGTGGCACTGTGAGCTGTGAGCAGGGGCCTGGGAGTCCTAAAGCCCGCACGCAGAGCACGAGGCCTTCCTGGATCAGGGGTGGAACTCCAGCCCCCTGCGGTGGAAGTGCAGTCCTGAGCCCTGGACCGCAGGGAAGTCCAGCCCTGCCTTTTCTCCAGAGCTGCCATCAGAGACCCTGCGAGGTCAGGGGAGCTTTGACTTCGCATGGAAATTCTAGGGTAATTAGTCAAAGTTAGAACAAACAGACAGACAAAAGAACCTGAAAGAAAAAGATCAAAAGCCCCCTGAATAGCTTACCTTAATTTGGCCAATGCTGTCACCAGATAACTCTTGAATATGCTTGAGACTGTGTGTCAGGCCAGAGGGACTGAAAAACGTGATGCTGGCGGGAACACCCTGGAGAGGGGAGAACAGGGTGAGTCCCTTGCCGGGGGCCGAGGAGAAAGATGGTCCCCAGACGGTGACCATCAGCCCTGGAGCCCAGGGTGCACACGGGCATTCACAGCAGGAGGGCCCCCACTGGGAGATGCTGCCCAGCCGGTCACCGTCACCCCCGGAGCCCAGGTGCACGCCGGGGCATTCACAGCAGGAGGGCCCCCACTGGTTTGGGTCCTGGGCTCCATCTCCGTGTCGAGAACAGTTTGGGGGGGGGGGGCTGGGCGCTGCTCCCCGGATGCTCTGCCGCCCTCGGGTCTGCGCCTGCCCAGCCAGAGGCAGCAAGCACCGGGGAGCCAGCACGCACGCGAGTGGAGAGCGGCTCCAGCTCGGGTGGCCAAAGTGCACCATCCAAGTCAGATCAGAGCAGCGAGCCTGCTCCCTGGGCCTCTCTGTGCCTTCTGGAAATGGAGCAGGCAGCAGACGGGCCCACTGGGCCTCTCTGCTCTGTTGGTGCTAACAGGGCCTCCCAGGCTGGCAAGGCATTCAGAAGCCTGTCCTGGGAGAGGAAGGGGAGGCATCTTATTGGGTGCGGATGTGGAACGCTCCCATCAACCCCACAAGAGCCGAGCACTCTTCTGCCTGAAGCCTCCAAAGGCTCCCGCTGCCTCCCCAGGTCGACCCAGACCGCGGCCTGCCCGGTGAGGTGTGGCCCTCAGCCTCTCCAGCCCTGCCCTGCAGCTCCACCACCGCCCCACCCCACGGCGAGGAACAGCCTCAAGGCCACTGCTGACCCCGGGCTTTCTCAGTCTTGAATGTCACACAGAGGGCTTTGTGTAAATTATCTCCTTTAACGCTTGATAAACCTTACCAGATGGATCTGTTCCTACTTCCCAGATGCAGAGATGGAACCAAAAGATGGGACACCACCCCCACCGCAAGTCACAAGCTGCAACGGACAGAACCAGCATCGGGAAGCCAGCGTCCCTCAACCCTGCCTGTGCCACCCGGGGGCTCCCGGCCTGAGCTCCCAGAAAGCGGCACGCACCTGCTGGATATAGTAGCTGCTGAGGTTCCCCTGGATCCCTGGGTGTGGGATAGTCTGGTAGACGGTTATGCTCTCCAAGAGGATCCCTGGACACAATGGAGACCAGAAGACAGACTTTACCATGCCAGGAAAGGACCACAGGGCACCATTAGCTGAGGCCCCCCCAGGGCCGCATGGCCCTCCCGGAACAAGCGGCCAGGCACCCAGCGGCGTGCACTGGGCTGGCCCTCCACACTGCGCCTGATGCTGCTGCGGAGTGGTCACACGGTGCAGGAGGCGGAGGTGACACGGGAAGGACGGGGTCCCGAAGCCTCAGCCCCACCCGGGACGATGATTCCTTTTGTCCCCACGTCTGTGTGAACCATCCACAGGCCTGGCCCTGGCCACTCTGCCATGGCTGCTGTCTGCGTGGACTCCCATCCTGCGGGCCAGGGCTGGAGGCAGACTGCACCGGGGTCTGTAAGCCTGGGACGTCAGCAGCCATGAGCCTTCAGGGGCCCGGACAGCTTGGTCCCTGGCACCCTGGCCTGGGGCCCAGGGTTGGAGAGGGAGCAGGTCGAGGTCAGCTGAGCTGGAGGCTGCCACGTGCTTGATGAGATCGGGGGTCTAGACTGCACTGATCTGGCTGAGGGGCGGCCAAAGCCCCCCGAAGACTGGCTTCCCCGTATGCCCACCGGGAGTCCTGGCCACTCCACCGCCACTGTGGTCCCAGTGAGGGCTCCGGGCTCCCCGCGGAGCTGAGTGGGTGGGTCTGAAGCAGGAAGGTGCCTGCACCCCGAACCTAACCTGAGGGGCACCCGCCTCCCGGCCCAGCCTTGCTCTCCCACGAGGGCTGTGGGGTGACGAACTGTCACCACGTGGGCGGGCCCTTGGGACCCCGGGAAGGCTGGGGCAGGCATGGCCCCAAGGGCCAGTGCATCCGGTCACCTTTGTCCGTGAGCATTGTCGGCAGGATCTCTCTTCTGAGGGTTCCGCAGGGAAACAGAAGAGGCAGCGTGGAGGACTCCCCTGTGAATAAACAGGTGGGCGTCGAGGACGTGCCGGAGGTAACGAGTCAGCGGTGAGGGAGGCCGAGTTCCAGGCCCGAGTGGAGGAAGCTCTTGGGGTCATGGTTGGGGGGGGACAGCATGTGGAACACTGACACCCACGCGTGCCTGGGGCTGCGGTCCCCCCAGCTTCCGAAGCCCCTCCCACCCTGGTGGCCCCAGGCAGCAGTGGGCGTGCAGAGCTGGGTCAGAGGTCAGGCCTGGTATTGGCCCCAGAGTAACAGTCTGCCTCCAGAGGGGACTGGCTGGGAGAGAGGTGGCTGGAACCTAGGCTCCAGGGGCAGGCAGCAAATGGGAGCCGAGCGTGGACGGTGGAGGTGCAGCCGCCCCAACAGAGACCAGCTGTGGGGGTACTTCTGTTATGGTGGGGATGGCGGCCGCCAGGCCAGGTGCCCGAGAGCCTGAGAGATGCTGCAGGGGGCCCAGCCTGCTGAGAACGGCCCTGCCTCCTGCCCCCGTGTACCTCTCCTCTCTGGGAGAGTCAGCTGGAGGCCTCTCTTTGCAGAATCATGGAGACACCATGGGAGACACCAGCTCCCAACAAAACTGATGGGCCATTAGGTGTCAGAATCCTTCCCAAGAGAGGAAGTTTGATGGGAAACAGCCTCCGGGGGGAAGGATGCCCACAGCCCATCTCATCACCATGGAAACTGACAGCATCTCCCACCAGGGCACTGCTTGACCACACCACTTTTCCTCTTTGTCATAAGATCGTTTATGGAAAATGAATGAATGAATGAATGAAAAAAATTCCTTTCTGGGATGAGCTCAGCTAAACAGGCCAGTGTGAAAGCTGGTTGTGTTCCACAGAGGTGAGCGGTGAGGTCTCCCTGGGGTAACAGGGAGAGGCCAGGGCCGGGCAGGAGTCTAACCCCACACGGGACGCTGAACCTCGGGGCTCAGGTGCTCTGCGCTCCTTTAACAGGAAGGGGGCCCGGCCTGCTGGGCTGAAGACGGCAGCTGCGCGGAAAGTCCTAAGAGCGCGCTACGTGGCTGGGGCGGGGGCTTCAGTCTCTGCAGGTGATGCAGGTGGCGAGAGGGAGCAGGTCAATGTCATTTCGCTGGAGGAGACACGTGTGTCTATAAAACTCTAAGGGCCTCCAGGTCTGCAGTCACTGCGCCCTCTCAGGCCTGGTAGCAGCAGGCACTCAACGGTGGATAATCAGGACGATGAGGCTGGTTGGTGGGGGGGGCGGGGCACGAAGGAGAGCCCAGGAAGTGGGCAGGTCCGCAGGAACAAGTTGTTGGTCAGCTCAGCTGCAAGTCCAGGGGGTCAGTTCAAATAACCTGGGTAATCAATCAACTATAATCCAGGGAGATTAAAAATCAATAAATAACCCGCACAATGCCTGCCTCTGACACCCTCCCCTCTTCTTTCTCTCAGAAGACGCTGTTAAGAGTTATCTTCTACCTCTGACCACTTCACTTGTCCTTTCTTTTCCACCAGCAGAGACACCCTGGGAGGGAAGACCTGTCCATCAGAACAAGAAACTACCAGATTCATAAGGTGATGGCTTTAAGTGCTTGTAACAGTGCCCGTCACAGAGGAAAGAAGTGTTTAAGTCAAACAAATAAGCAGTAACTACAAACTGGCCTTTCTACTCCAAGCACTGAAGTCATTCTTGCTTTTTAAGATCAAGCTTCAGAGTTGGCTTGCAAGAAACTCATTAACATCCAGGTGAAACCAGGGGCAAGTCCTTACCGGTCAGGATGGATGCTTGCTTGGATGTTATTCTAGTTGGGAACTGAAGGTTCATCAGGACCCACAGGCGAACCCTGGTCGAGCTGTGCTGAGTCCGTCCCGCTTGTCCCCTCGGAGCTCTGGGACCCTGGATGGTCACGAGCTCCCGGAGCTTCGACAAGGCTGCCAAACAGCGCGCCTGGCGACCCTGGGGCAGCCAGGCTGTCCCTGTGGGGCCCTGAGCCGAGAGGGGTGGCTGAGCTGTGGCCTGTGCTCCATGTGATGGGGGAAACACGTTTTGATTTTTCATTTCGATTAATTTAAATTTAAATAGGCCCATGTGGCTCCCACAGTGGACCACAGTGGATGGTGGTGGAGACCAAATGAGACGACGCAGGAGAGGCGCCAGGGCCACGCTGACCACCCAGTAATGCCCAGCCCTCGATACCAACAGTGACAGTGACCCAGGAGAGAGGAAATAAGATTATTCGTAAAAGAAAAGTGGGAAAAGGAGAGTGAATGGGAACCTGCAAAGCCCACTGTCTGCTGCCTGAGCGCCAGGAGGCCTGGCTGACGGGGAAGGGGAGGACCCCGGACTCTTGCAGGAGTGGCTCCCAGGCGTCAACAGAAACACACGAGCCCGCCCCCCTTTACCAACGGCAGTGGCTCCTGATAGGAGGGCCCCCTAAGACTTCAGAAAGATAGAGACAGGCCAGCGCCGCCTTGAGGACAAACGTTCCAACACACCACGCCCCACACAAAATGGCCCAGAAGCCATAAAAGCTCCCAGTCAAGGTGTTGCCCTCCCTGCCCACCCTGGTGCCAACACCAGGGACAGAGAAGACAACACTCTCTTCTGGACAAACTCACAGCCACACCTTGGGCGTCAGTACCCAACCGGCCCTGTCTCCGAAGGGAAGTTCTAGAAAGGGTCTGTGCACCGCGGCCCTGGGTCAGAGCCCGGCACGTGGTCTACGGCCGCACTCACGTTTCGGTGGGCAGAGGACGGGCCCGCAGAGCTGCCTGCATCCGGTCCTCAACAGACAGTCCCACAGCCCCTGATCTCGAGGGGCGCGGCCCCGATCCTCTCAGGGACAGAAGGCAAGCTGGTTCTCTGTCCTCTTCCACGTGGGTGTCTGATGCCACGCATCCATCAGGGAGGGGTCAACGTGACAAGGACACGTCTGTGTGCAGTGGGAGCAGGCACGGGGCAGGGATCGGGATACACAACTTGAGTGGGGCTCCCGTATGGACCCACTGAGCCTCTCTGTTCTCTCTCTTCTAGAGTTCTGCTCCAAAAAGCTTGGTTCATGTCAGAAGCCAAGAATGTCATAATTAGCGCAAAGCCTAATCCCTACTGAAATACAAACTTCCTTGGAACCTGTGCTGTTTCATGTCTCAGCCCATGTGCTGCCCAATGATGAGCTTATGAGGGGGTGGGGGGTGCTATTCATGGAGGAGTGGGCTTTGGGGTTGGAGGGAATTCAGAGCAGGAAGCGGCTCCTACAAGGAAGGGCAGGCGGGGGAGCTGGCAGAGACAGACAGACGGTGCCCAGTAGCTCCTGCTGCCTCCATCCGCCCCTTACAATCCCCAGAAAGTCCTGCTCCTGGTTTTGTCTCCAGCCCTTTCACTCAGTGTCAAGTTCGAGTTGTCTCCAGTCCTTGGGTGGAGGGGTTAGAGGGGAGTGGGCTGAACCTCAGACAAGCACAGACGGAAGCAGATACAAGGCGCCTGATACAAGACAGAAGCAGATACAAGGCGCCGTGAACCCAGAGGGGTGCACGCACTCAAATCAGCCGTGTCACTGCCAAGAAGGCACCGAGGAGACGGCCCTTCCCCGAAGTGCTGGCTGGGAGACCCCAACAGCAATACCAGGCTTCACCGGGGCCCTACTCTACTTACTGGAGCAAATGTATTCTGCAAGCTTTTCTGCATTTCCACAGGTCTCTCCTTCTGTATGCAGGCCAATTCTATTCACTGGAAAACAACAACATCATTTATTTCTTTACATGGTTATTAAAGTCCCTCTGTTCCAGGGTGGTATCTTAAAGGTGCAGAGACGAAGGCAGGTACTTTACAATGACACGAGTGTCTCCCCTTAGAAGCTAGTGTGGGAGGTGGGAGGAGGCACTGTGTGCTCGAGAGGGAGCTGGGTTCCAGCCCGTGGCCTCCCCAACCCCCACGGCCCCCAGACCTGTGGCTCTGGGTGATGTGGGACCAAGTTAGCAACTTACTCTCAAAAGGTTCAGGAAAAATTAAGTTCTTTGCCTTGTATTTATACCTTTCCTGTAAGCTTCCTTCAAAATAAAGATGTGTGTATGTAAAAGAAGAAACTACATAATCATCACACAGATCTATTATAACTTAAATTGAACTCTTCCCCTGTTAGTGGACACTTGGGGTTTTTCATTTTTTTACATTATAAGTAACACTATGATATAGTTGTGTATCCCAACCACCACCATCACCCCAAAGACTCTTGGAGCGTCCCTTGGACAGCAAGGAGATCCAACCAGTCCATCCTAAAGAAAATCAATCCTGAATATTCACTGGAAGGACTGATACTGAATACTTTGGCCACCTGATACAAAGAACTGACTCATTGAAAAGACCCTGATGCTGGGAAAGATTGAAGGCAGGAGGAGAAGGGGACGACAGAAGATGAGATGGTTGGATGGCATCACCGACTTGATGAACAAGAGTTTGAGCAAGCTCTGGGAGTCGGTGATGGACAGGGAAGCTTGGTGTTCTGCAGTCCATGGGGTCACAAAGAGTTGGACATGACTAAGCAACTGAACTGAACTGATAAAAACATTTCTCCTATTTGGGATTACTACCTTTGGATAGATTGTCAGAGAAGGGATTAGTGGGCTGAAGGGTACAAATAATTTAGCAAAGCCTTTGAATACAGGCTGACCAAGTATTTCTCAAAAGACGGGAACTAATTTTCAATGCCATTTAGCCATATCTGAATATATTTATTTCACCACACCCTTATTGGCATCATTAAGTGGTTGACTAACTACTTGTTATCAACTGAGTAAGGAAAAGAATCTGTTTTAAGCTGAACCATGTGGTTCCATGAACTAAGTCAGGTCAGTGGGGAAGGACATCTCCCGTTTCCCTCTCTCCCCTGTTCTCCACCGCACTCACACCTCTGCATGCTGGTTGCCCCGGCTGTGGGTTTTCCACACCCAGAAGTTCTCAGGCTCTGAGCTGAGTGTCTGACAATGTTAACTCACAACCCAAGGATCTGGGGCTCAGTCCCCTAGATCACACCGCCCCCACTTCAGACCTAGGTCATCGCTTGTGCTTCTGACAAGACCAGCTCTGAGTCAGAGGGTCTCCTGGTCCACTCCTTGAGTTGGATCATTTGCTAGAACAGCTCACAGAATTCAGGGAAAAGGTGTAATTTACTGTTGCTGGCCTCTTATAGAGGATATTTCAAAGGGCGTCAATGAACAGCCAGATGGAGGAGTTGCATCAGGCAGGGATGGTTCAGGGGGCCTGGGCCTCCCAGCTCCTCGGTGAAACTGCCCTTTGGATTTTTATGGCGGCTTCATTACATGGGCACAATCGACTAATCAATGGTCACTGGTGATTAATTCAACCTCTGGGCACCCCATCATTCTTCTCCCTGGAGGTGGGGGGCAGGGAGGTCAGGATCTGAAAGTTCCCCCTGGAATCATGGGATTGGTTCCCATGGCAAGTAGCCCCCAGTTTAAGGGCTTCCCAAAAGTCACCGCAGTGAAGTCAACTCAGATGGAGTTGAAAGGTCTGTTAGGAATAACAAAAGACACCTCTTTTTTTTTTTTCTTATCACTTAGGAAATTCCAAGGGTTTTAGGAGGCCTGGGCCAGGAATAGGGATAAAGACCAAATATACATTTTTCATTATAATCACAATATCACAGTCATTCTTTGGTGTTTTATTTGGGCCTTGACTGCTTACCTAGAGAAGCAGTAGCATTTCCCACCACATACACCGACTTAGCGTTCCATTTTTCTTTCAGAGACTTTTTCCAGACTGTAAGACATGAAATTCGATGTGAGTTGCAAATACCACGGTGGCCATTTGGACTGCTGCCTGCGGCTGTTTGTTCATCCTAAAAGACTTGTGAGCAAGGCAAACTATTAATGACCAGATATAAAGAACAGCATCTCAAACTAAAATCCATTTTTATATTCTATTCATAGTCTACAGGCAAGTTTTTACAAATCACTTTAGCCAAACGTTTCAGTATGCCTTGCTTGAAATATTAAGTCATTTCCACAGCTGGCATTGGAAGCATTTTTAATGAATACTAGTAAACAAACATAGTGAATAATTAATTTGTTCGGTGATATTAAAATGTAAAAATCTACCCTTTTTCCTTTGGCCACGCCATGAGACTTGTGGGATCTTGGCTCCCAGACCAGGGATTGAACCCACGGCCACGGGAGTAAAAGCACTGAGTCCTAACCACTGGACAACCAGGGAATTCCCCCCAAGATTAGACTTTTAGAGACAAAAGTTACTGCTTATGAGAAAGAGGCAATTTAAATCTCTAATAAGGCAACTGCTGTTTACTCGCTAAGTTGTGTCCGATTCTTTGCGACCCCATGGACTGCAGCACGCCAGGCTCCTCTGTCCTTCACTATCTCTTGGAATTTGCTCAGATTCATGTCCACTGAGTTGGGGATGCTATCTAACCACCCCATCCTCTGCCGTCTGATACAACTGATTTTTTTCTGGGCCATAAACCAAAGCAGTCAACAAACTATCATCTCAGATAGGAAGGCTCATTTATCCATTAGGTCAAAGTAGAGATAATACATCTCAGGTTTAGAAACAAACACAATTTTATAGAGGACATTATCATTTTGTGACAAAAGTAAACATTTTAAAATATGGGTTAAAGTAATACTGAAAAAAAGAAAAGTATCATAAGTCCACTTGGCATTCAACACACTTTTAGGAGATAAGGAAACACCAGCTTTTCCTTCCTAAGATGTGACACCCATCTGGGCGCTTGGGAGGCAGCACGGTCCCGTTTCCTGGGCCTCGGCACCTCGAAGTGCTCGCTCCCATCAGAAGGCTCCCAGGTGACGCTATTCTGCGTGGGACACTAAGAGGGACTCTCATCTTCTGCTCCCTCCAAAGGTAACACAGGCACAGAGGAAGTTGGGACCTAAATACTTTTTGAACTAAAAGTCACCGCGCTGTTTCAAACCCAGGTCTAGCTCTTTCCAGACTGAGCATCACTGATGGGATAAACCAGAGTGACATCCAGAGGGATTCTCAGCAGACCCCGCCCTCACCTTCGGCTTTAGCGTCTTTCTGCAAACACCGCTCCACGGCTTCCACCGCTCTGGGGCTGGTGAAAATGAGTCCCCCGTAACCTTCGGGATGAGACAGCTGCACACCAAACAACGGCAGAGGCATTTTACACGATGGCCAAGTTCAACACTGCCCAGGATTCCACATCTTCACAAAAGTGGTAGGCAAACTAAATCCACCCATCCATCCACCCACTCAAAACATGAGAGCTCCCTACATGCCTGGATCTACTCCAGGTCTTTAAGGACACACAGGTAAATTCATAGCACTTCCCTCAGGCACCGCACAGTTTTGGGGAGGGACGGGTCAGTGTGAGGCGGGGTGGCAGGCACAAGGGAGAGGGGATGTGACTCAGCCTGGGCGTGGCTGGGGTGTAGGCAGGACCGCAGACTTGACCTGCATCTGTAATAAACTGGAATATTCAAGGAGTGATATCCATGCTGAGGCCCTGGTTTTTGAGGGTAAAAATGGGGACAAAATCTATTGACCATGGATTCTGAGCCACACAGCGGCTCTTACACACACTCCTGCACCGAACACGTGATGGTACCCTGTGATGCGTGGAAAGACTCGAACTGCTCGGATTAAGACAAAGAGGCTTGGCGAGGATGAGGAAGCAGCCCAGGTGAGGGGCGGAACTGAGATCTGAGCACTCACTCACCGCACCACCAGCGCTTCAGACGGAGCTCAGACACCTCCTCAGGAAACAGACTAGCTGGGGGTGACGGAGAAGCCCCTGCTTCGAGCATTTTCCTGACCACTGGGGTTCTAGCAATGAGCTCAGATGATGAGCTCTGCTTCCGTTAAAGCTGCTTATGGTAGAGGTGCCAATGGGGGTCCCTTACATAGTCCTTACAACACACAGTCAGGGCAGATGACAATTGTTGAACGAATAATTCAACATTCAGCTCGAACGGAAGGGAGAAAGCAGAGAGGTGCTCCGTGAGTGACGGGCGGACTCCAATATGCAGAGCATGAGGGTTGGGGTGGGGGGCCTGGAGTTCACAGTGGCTCGGGAGCCCAGTAGGCAGGGGTGGGCACACCCATCCCATGAAGCCCCCGGCTCGCAGCCCACGAGTCCAGAATCCAGCCCCTGGAGAGGTCATCTGGTGGCACGTGCAGTGATGGAGGCGGCTGGGCACGGAATCTTTAGCTGGAACTGTTCCCATGGCGCTTCCCTGGGGCCGTCCCCGCCAGTAATCTATCACCCCAACCCGGGGGCAGGAGCCCCAACCCTCCCTCTTATCTGCTGGGGGACCCGGCCAAGGTGCCCGGCCTGGGGAGAAACAACAGCTGAGGGGGGGGGGGGCGGCCTGCAGGAGAGGAGGAAGGGGAAGGGTCTGCGGGGCGGAGAGCAGGCAGGCAGGGCCTCGCCGTGGGCCCGCCTCTGGGTCAGGTGGCTTTCTGGAGGGGCTGCTAGAAGCTTGGGCTGAAGATGCAGGTGAGTTAACACCGCCAGTGAGACAAGTGCTCATCAATGGGTCCTTCTCACTCGGGTTGGCAAGGATGCAAGGAAACCAAAGGTGTCTCATTGGAAAACCATGGTGCTCAGAGGCTGAAAAACTTACCTTCTCCGACAGACTGGGGAGAGATAGAAACTCAAACGATAAAACAGGGATCAAAGTGGCTTCGAGCCCATATAATCCCAGCTCCTGCAAATGAAAGGATACAGCTTTGAGCTGGCAGGGTTTTGGGGGGGAAATAAGGAAAATGGGCCTATTTCACAACTTATACTGTGCCCACTCCTCAACTGTTAGCAGATCACCCCACCCTTGATTGACTTCAACACGAGGCAGGGCCAGGCGTTCTGGGACCGGGCGTGCCAAGCACTTACCCTGACGTAGGGGTCCTGGCCACAGTCGTCCTCCTTGGGGTCTTTCAGCAAAAGAACCTTCATTATGGCCTGGCAGTCCTTACAGGGTGCTGTGAGAGGGCTGGGAGAGGGGATCCTAACTCGATCTCCAAGGCTCTTTCTGAGCAGGGTCAGCGGCTGGGTGGGCGGGCATGGGGCGCAGGTAATCAGCGGCAGCTTGGCTGGCCTCTCCCACACCTACAATGACTTGGCGTTTATGAGCTTGTTCTTCTGAAGACCCTGTCACCGATAAGGCCCGTGGACAGCAGGCCAGCACTTGATATCACTTGAAAAGGCAGATTAAAGCCACTAGGGAAAGGCAGTATCCTAGCTGAATACTGGAAACTCACAGAAGAGAAGTGATGCAAATTCTGGGTTGAATCAATAATAAGTAAGAGAAATGAGTATCTTTTAAAAAAACGAATAATTACTTTCATTTCTAGATAAATCTACTCATTTGGTTATAAGCTCTTTAGGGAATCATTATATTGACTCTTCTCATATGTTTTACAATGTGGTCAAGTATCGAGAGATAATCTTTCAAAAATTTTTAAGAAATCTGGAAAAGTTTGTTGATATATATCAAAAGACATACATATTTCATACCCTTTCTTCCTATAATTTCACTTTTAGAATAAATTCTAAGGTGATACTCATAAATGTGTGCAAAGATTAACATCCTGGTATTCTTTTTTTTAACAGACATGTAACATCGGGCAAGTTTAAGGTGTACAGTGTGATTTAATACATTTATATGTTGCGATACAATTACTGCTGTAACATTAGCTAACACCTCTATCACTTCATAAAATTATCATGTCTCTTCTGTGGTAAAAACAATTAAGATCTAGTCTCTTGGCAGCTTTGAAGTTGATAATACAATATTGTTGATTACAATCACCACATTATTCATTAGATCCTCAAGACTTAGCTGCAAGTTTGTATCCTGGTATGTTTTATAATTGCAAATAATTAGAGATAATGTAAATGTCCAACAAGGAGAGAATGGCTAAGTAAATCATGGTACACATCTACAAAAAATCACTAAAATATCCATAAACAACTTAATTACATGGCTTATTTAATCACAAAATAATGTTAAGTTTAAAAAGGCAGGATACAAAATTGCATAACGTGTGATCTTATACATTTTATATTTACATATATATGAAAGAATATTTTTGCTGCTAGGTTAGGGTGATTATTTTCTTCTCTACCTCTTTCTGTATCATCCAATTTTATTTTTACAATAAACATTAAATTCCTCTTGTATCAAAGGAGGAAAAAGCACATTATAACCATCCCAAAGGTCTCAAAACAAATGCCGCCGAAGACCTGCAGAACAAACTGCTGGAAACGCAAATTACATCCCGTAAGTAGCATTAAACTACCAGTTACTTAATTAATATACAGTGGTTGATAATAGTCAAAGAGTATATTGTTTGGAGCAGAAATGTGTTAACTCTGGGAGCCATTACTAATAAATAATCACTGAACATATTTCTGGAAACTTATAACATCTATGGGACATCTTAGGACACTTTGGTTCCAAGTGAATTGCTTTGTATCTAAGCAAGCAATTCTGGGTGAACTAATAATAATTATGAAGCCAAGTTCAATTACTGCTGCTTTCTAGCAGTTAGCTGGAGAGCCGGGAGACTTGGGGAAACAGCAGCGTCGTGTCTATCATTTCCTGAAGTTACTCACCTTTCGTCCCCCATAGAAATCAGAAATCCCCCTTCCGGGGATGCTCACTCTTAGGTGTCAACTTGGCCGGGCTTGCTTTCCCCATTTATTCAGAAATGCTAACCTCGGTGTTGCCGGGCAGGCACTCTGGAGAGCTGATCCACTCACCATTCATTGGCTTTTAGTAAAAGAGATGATCCTAGGTCATCAGGGAAGGCCTGTTTCAGGCAATGGAAGGCCTAAAGAGCAGAACTGAGGTCTCCTCGAGGAAGAAGGAATTCCACTGTGGCCACAGCTGCAGGTCGTGCCCGAGCCCGGCCTGCCCTTCCCGTTGGCTCGCACCGTGGATTCCAGCCTTTCCTCGCCAGCCCCCACAGCTGCGCAAGGCGATTCCTTGCACCAAGTCTCCTGATCATACCCCCTACCGTTCTCTCTGCTGGACCCTGGCTGACATACCTCCTCATCTGGGGGTTCTGAGAAGTATGTCACTAAGTGGCAGGAGAAGTGAGTGACAGAGGATAAGACGGTTGGATGGCATTGCCGACGCGATGGATACGAGTTTGAGCAAACTCCAGGGGACAGTGAAGCACAGGGAACCTGCTGTGGGGCAGTTCGCGGAGTCGCACATGACTTAGTGACTGAACAACAGAAAGCGGCCTGGGGCTTCCCCAGGGTAGGACAGGCATGACTCAAGTGCAAGGACCAGGGAGGCTCTGGTTCATTGAGAAGTAGGGATCCACTGGATTCCCAAGTATCCATTCCTCCCTCCTCCCTCTCAGAAAGGAGCCCTTCATAATGTCGGGCACATGGATGCCCGGGACAAATATGTGCAGATGGATGTGGTCAGGTGAGGTGGTTCTGGTCCAGAGGACTTAAGTGGAACTGACACACACACTTCCGGTCCCGCCTGGGCAGGAAGTGCCATTCCTGCCCTTCCCTTCCTGCCTCCCTGCCGGGTGGAGGATGGATGGGGTTGGCCAGTAAGAGCAGCAGGGTCCTGTCCTGGGGGTGATGCAAGGAGCAGGACCTCTTTGCATGGCAGAGCCACCAGTCAGCCAGAGTTCTTTACATCAAAGGAAAGAAACGTTCTATCCTGTTTCAGCCAATGTTATTGGCTCTGTGTTAAAGTAGTGGGACTCACATCCTCACCCATGCAGAGCCCAGAATGCTTCCTAGGGGACCCAGTGTTCCTGGGGGATCATGTTCAGACTGGAGGCTGCATAGGTTCAAGCCTGAGGGGTGACGAGACCTGGGGCAGCTGGAGTGTGCAGGGGAGAGTGGGGAGATGGCCCTGTCTGGCCCTGTTAGGGAGTCTAGACTTGGTAGCAATGGAGATGTCTTGTTGATGGATGTACTGTTCTGCTTGCGCTTTCTCCTCCCTTTCTCTCCGGGGCAACATTAAGAGGGAAGTGCAGGGTCACCAAACAAGCGGAGGACGAAGGGCCAAGGGAGTCGGGTCCTGGTCCCAGCCTGACTGGCCAGGATCTTGTTTTCTCCCCTGGTTAATGGGAATACCCTCTGCCCTCCCAAGGCATGGAGTGACTCACAGGAGATAATGAGTGACAGCTACCCCCTTGTTGTTATGTAGTCATTAAATCATGCTTGACTCTTCTCTGACCCCATGGACTGTAGCCCGCCAGGCTCCTCTGTCCATGGCATTCCCCAAGCAAGAATACTGGAGGGGCCTGTCATTTCCTTCTTCAGGGGATCTTCCCAATCCAGGAATCGAACCTGAGTCTCCTGCATTAGCACGTGGACTCTGTATCACTGGGCCACCTGGGAAGCCTTAGTTGTATAATAAAAACATGTGAGAGCAAACCAAATCTACTCACTGCAAATAAGGAAAATATTTCTTCTGGGTTCTACTCTGGTTCTCTTGGGTAATAAAACTGATGCCTTCTGGATAATGACTGCTTAGAAATTCCATGAGATGGGCTGCAGGACTTGAAAAATAAAAATCAAATACTGCCCTTGGCCCTTCTCTGCCACCGCTCTAAGCATCTCTAAGGTAGAACTAAGAGGAGCCACGGCTGAAGCTTCCTGGCCATGCCAGAACCCGTATCACCAAGTTCACTGAGCAATGGATCAACGGACACGTGCACTCAGACAGTCATGCCAACACACTGATCCTTTTCTTAGTAACTGAAGGTTTAAAGCCGAGACTGTGCAGACAATTGATTCTCCTTCACACCTACCCCCTCACAACTGACAGGTACCAGTCACTGAACTACTGGGCAAACCCAGCCCAGGGCAGAATCCCAGGGCTCAGAGAAAGGTCCACAGACCCCTTCTCAACAAGGGAGGGGGTGGGACGTCCCTGCTGGGCCAGTGGTTAAGAATTAATGTGAAGCCCGTGCACCGCAAAAGCCTGTGTGCAGCAATGAAGATCCGGGGCAGTCATCAATAAATAAAGTTTAAAACAAATTTTTTGTTTTCAGTTGACACCTGTTACCTGCATTGCAGCAACAGGAGGAAGCCTGGAACAGGAAGGGGAGAAAGGGGTATTCTCAGGCTTTTATGCAAGGAGGTTTGTACGCATGTCACTTTGGACTTTGGCAAGAGGCCTGGTGGTGTGGAAGAATCTTGTGCCAGAGGGGCTGAAGCTTGGGTTGTGGTCTACACTGTTCTCTTGGTCTCTGTTCTTGAATCTGTGAAATAGGTTTGGTCCTCTGAACCAGTGGTTTTCCTGGGGCACTTTCTTCCCCATAGTAGATGCTCAGCAAATATCTGTTCGCATTGTGGGAAAACAAATGCTTTAGATTTACTCAGCAATTTTTGGAGCATGGGGAATGGCCACTTTTCCTTAAAGAGACAGGGAACTGACTTGATTAAGGCCTCTTCGCTGGTAAGAGAGCCACGTCTCAAATCCATACTTTTAAACCATGTCCTGCTGCTTTGAATAGTAGCGATAAAAGCAGCTGTCCTTTCATCTGGCACTTACATGGGTAATTTATGGGGCTAAGCATTTTACAAGCAAGACCTAAATCCTCATTTAAACCAGCACGGTAGGGAGTATTATTCTTTTTTTACAGAAGAAGAAACTAAAGCTCTGAAGCTTTGAGTAATGTGCTCAGGCTGCACAACACAGTAGTTGGCAGAGGTAATAAGAAAATGTAACCCAGGTTTGGAGCCCAGGCCCGGTCGCCCAAGCATGTGCTACCACCTCTCTGCTCCTTTATGATAAACTCCAGACTCCGTTATACAGAGTGGAACATTAATAAGTCAGAAAGAGAAAAACATCAAATATTAACGCATGTATGTGGAATCTAGAAAAATGGTACAGATGAACCTATTTCCAAGGCAGGAAGAGAGACACAGATGTAGAAAATAGACATGTGGACACAGGGGGAAGGGAGGGTGGGATGAACTGGGAGATCGGGATTCACATACATACATTACCATGTGTAAAACACGGAGCTAGTGGGAAGCTTCTGCATAGCCCAGGGAGCTCAGCTCGGAGCTCTGTGACGACCCAGAGTGGGGCGTGGTGCGGGGGGCAGGGGGTGCGACGGAGGCTTGGAGGGAGGGGATACATGTATGCATATAGCTGACTCATGCTGTTGTACAGCAGAAACTAACACACTATTGTAAAGCAATTATATTCCAGTAAAAAAAAAAAGATAAATTCTGAGTTGAGCTAAAGGTGAGCCAGGGCAATCTAGTCCCTGACTGTGTGAAGTTCCCCGGGGTCAGTACTGGACTTTCTTGAAGGACAAAAACCATGGGTAGTCCATTTATTTACATTCACTGCTCTACCTCACAATCTGACCGTGAGCTCAACACTGGGGACTCAACACCAAGGCACAAAGAAAGGCTTTTCCCCTCTTCTCTTACTAAAGCACCACATGCTTATTGAGGAAAATTTGCAAACTACAAAACAGTATGTTCCTCAAAACATTAAAAATAGAATTCCTATGATCAAACTGTGGTGGAGAAGATTCTCGAGATTTCTTGGATTACAAGCTCAAACCAGTAAATCCTAAACGAAATCAACCCTGAATATTCACTGGAAGGACTGATGTTGAAGCTGAAACTCTATTACTTTGGCCACCTGATGCGAAGAGCCAACTCATTGGAAAAGACCCTGTTGCCCGGAAAGATGGAGGAGGGCAAAAGGAGAAGGGGGCAACAGACTCAGAGACAGCTCATTCCTTTTTTGCAACCACACTTCCCATCTACTCTGCTCATTTTACAGAGTGAAAAAGAAAAGCTATAGACCTCGCTCTCAAAAAGCTGATGTCTTCTCTAGTGACTTTTTTCCCCCAAATAACATTAACAGGCTGCAAACTGGCAGTCTGTGGGATAAATCTGACTGGTAGATGACTTTTACTTGGCACAAGTTTTACAAATCATGTTTTTGGTAAAATCCAGCACTCTAAGTTTTCTTGCAAAGTGAGACTAAGAACACTGGGTGACTTTTTCACTTGGCCACAACTTGCAGAGCTGCTGGGTACATGCTCTCTAGTTTACCACAGTCCTCTCCACCGTGTTTTCTCAAAATAGGCTCAGGTCTGTACTTTAGATATCCCCAGAGGCCCCGAAAGTGTTAATTTCTCAGTCATGTCTGGCTTTTTTAGAACCAATGGATTATGGCCTGCTAGGCTCCTCTGTCCATGGGATTTTTCAGGCAAGAATACTGGAGTGGATTGCTATTTCCTACTTCAGGGGATCTTGCTGACCCCAGGGATCAAATCCAGGTCTCCTGCACTGCAGGGAGATTCTTTACTGTCTGAGCCCCCAGGAAAGCCCTAAGTGAAAGTGTCAGTCCCTCAGTCGTGTCTGACTCTTTTGAGACCCCATGTGCCAGGATCTTCTGTTCACAGACTTCTCCAGGCAAGAATACCCTAACTCCTTTCCTTCTCCAGAGGGACCTTCCCTACCCAGGGATCCAACCTGAGTCTCCTGCATTGCAAGCCTAGCTTGCTGCAGTCCATGGGGGTCCCCGAGTTGGACACAACTTAGCGACTGAACCAACAACTTGCCCTAAAGCAGATGAGGTTGATGCGTGATTTTAAAGAAACTTTCAGATCGAGAAATACGCTTAAGAACAGTGGGCTAAGGGTAGGTAACAAGGATCGCATTCACTGATTACCGACAAGGCTGTGCTGAGCGACACCCGCCGGGTTGGGGCATCTGCTCTGGTCCCGCGACCTTCCTTCCCTTCGGGGACAGCGCACCCAGCCCACCCAGGCCAGCAGCGGCCTCAGGGGTTCCGCTGCTAACTCGACACGCACGGGCAGTGACGCAGGCGGGTGCCCGTGCGTCCGCGGAACTCTTTTGTCCTCGCCGGTACCGTGCACAGGCGACACCTACCTGGCCGGGCTGGCGGCGCGCCACTCCGGGGCGGACTCTCAGAGTTTCCGCCAGCAGGCCGCCGGGCGGCGGCGCGCACCGCAGAGCCGGGAGGGAGGCCCCCTCACCACTTGGCCGGCGTTGCCACGACGACAGCCCAAGCCCCGCCCCCCGTTAATGGGCACCTGCGCCGGGGGTGGGGGATCCAGGAACCCCCCGAAGCTCGGGCACGCGCACGGACACCCAGGCGCAGCGACCTAGTGAGATGGGTCAAACCACTGCGCAAAGCGGGGGGGGGGGGGTGAGGAGAACCTCGGAAAGACGAGTCGCTCCATGGAAGGAGGAAGAAAAGGCCAAGAGAGGAACCCCCCCCCCCAATTGGACTTGACTGTCGGACTTCACGGCGGCGGGGCTGACGCCGACTCCGCACCGAGGGTCTTCGTGCCCTCCTATCCCGCCCCCCGGCCTCGGCTGGATTGGGTGGATCCGGAAGGGCGGGCGCGCGGGGGTTGCGCAGGCGCAGAGGTGCCGGTAACATGGCGTGCCGGCCGAAGCGGCGTGCTCTGAGCCGCGTGCCCCCGGCTCTGGGCGATGAGGAAAAGGAGGATGAAGTGGAGGAGGTGGATGAAGACGACAGTGACGAAGAAGAGGATGAAGAGGACGAGGTCATCAATGAGGTGAGATTCCCGTGCGACCCCGGTTTACCTTCTGTCTGGGGAAAAAAGCAAACTTTTTGACAACCAAAGCCGTGTGAATGGGTGAACTGCCTGAAGCGGCGGCTTCCCGCTACCTGAGGGTCTTGAAACAGAACCTGGAGGCGAGGAAAGGCCCTCACACAGGCACCATGTCGTCTTTGACACACCGCAGCCACAAAGGTGTTTTTAAAAGGCCTACCCAGGCCGGGGCGGCGGGGGGCCCTGGGCCCTCCTATCGCCACACCTCCCTCCTCGGTGACTGTTTAGTTCTCAGGCTGAAGCCACAAATCCTCCTGGGTCGTCAAGGCCCCAAGTCCAGCCACTGCCCTCCCCGCGACTTCCGCGCCGGGGGTCACGGGCCCGCCTCCCTCACGGCGGCCCCGCGGCGTTTCTCCGAGGCCCGCCTCCTCCTCAGCTCTTCGCGCCGCCTGTATTATTCCTGAAGTGATTTCCCTCCGTTGTTCAGGTCTCAGCGAAGTCGACGTATCTTCCCTTCAAACCAGGTCCTGGTGACGTTCTCATAGAACTGGGTCCTGCCATAGAGCCTGGCTCTAGGTATACTCAGTGTTTGTTATTTGTTAAAAAGCAGAGACGTTACTTTGCCAGCAAAGCTCAGTTGATAAAGAAACTGCCTGCAGTGCAGGCGACCTGAGTTCAATCCCTGGGTCGGGAAAGATCCCC